TCTAATATTTTCATCTCATTTGTTGGATTTGATTCTCTTTATCTATTATTAGGACTTGTGTGAAAATCTGACAAAGTTTTAGGTCAAACTTATGCATAAGTATAGTAAATTCTAAAGAGTTCACAAACTTTCAAGCACCACTCTTTCTGGACAACCTCTTTCCACCATGCTCTAAATGTTGGCGCCCTCGACACAATACAACTTTTTGTGTTACAGCTGTAGTCAAACTCAATGAGGTGTAAATCAGCCCGACGTGAGTGGATCAGGTGCAGTGCTCACTCAGACATGAGCCAACCTCCACTGTTAATCCATTTAACGGGTAAATGCCCAAATCTATGTCACCGTTTCAGGGCCCAGGGGTATACTGTATATTCTCTCTTTCTGCACACAGCCCTGGCTGCCTCATCTAAATCTGAATTTGAAACAGATGAGCGAAGCTCAATGTCCTAAAATGATAGCGGATGAAAAAGCAGTGTTATATGTTAAAAAGCTATTTTCCTCATACAATATCATCCCTATTTAATGAAGCAGGAAATAATGAAAGATACGAACATAGACCATGTTAAGATATACGGTATATCACTCTTAATAAAACGGACATTTCCAGTCCTAAAATCTGATTGGTTGAGCCGCATTCAAAGCCACTGTAAAATCCACGATATACCACGGCTATGACCGCCTCACAGCGCATGAACTCTATCACTGCGTCATGGCATGAAAAACCCTTCTGCTGTTAATGGATTAACCTTTGACTCTAATGCTGATCACACGGAGCACCGAATGGACTGATGAAGTAACCCGTTTTTGTTTAAACTGAGGGGCTGACAACTTATTTTCTTTACTAGAACTAGGCTGGTCAGCAAGCCAACAGGCTAAAAGATAGCAAACATGCTAAACAACTCCAACATTAATATCACAGCCTTGAAATAAAGTACTCACAATATGATTCACTGAAAAACGGCAGCACAAAAATCTAAAGAATGTTACCAGAATGAGTTACACGCTTCAAATGTTCGTGTTTCAGTCAGAAGTAGCATCAAACCCAGGCTGAATCCCAAACGGCTCCGTACTCCCTGGCTAAATAGTGTTCTGTGTAACATTAAGTTTGGAACTCTGGCTTCTGCTGTCAGATACTGCACTGCTTGTCGAGTATGAATGTGGATGAATCCCAAATTACCATTTTTATATTTTGCATTGTTGGGCTGCAGGAGTCAGTATTTAAATTCCTACATAGCCTGTGCACTATGTAGGGAGCAGGGAGATGTTTGAGATGCAGCCCCAGTGTGAGAAAAGTGGTGTCGTCAGACTGGCAGAAGACTCACGGTGGTAATTTGGTGACCAAAAATACTTATAATCTAAAAGCTTTCGCATTAAACAGTGCTGTGTTATCACATGTTCGCTGTTATATGAAAAAAAAGTTTTAATAAATCATAAAATGACTGCAGTTTACAGTGATGGGTGACCGAACATTCTTCTCCTCATTCAGCGGTCAATAGTTGCTTAGCAATGATACCGTACTCTAAATGAACTACATTTTTTTGGTGGAATACTTGTTTATGTTGACTTATGTTAACTTAAATAATTATCAAACATTGTGTATTTTAACATATTTTATGTTGGCTGCCGTTTTATAAAAGCAATAAGCCACTCGAAGCTGTGTGTTACTGTGATTTTATCACGAGGAAGGGAGTTTTAGGCACTCTGCTTCACGTTGAACACCCTTCCCTATGATAAAATCGCAGTAACCCACAGCCTCTCATGACTTATTGCTTTAATACGCCCCTGGACACATTGTTAGAAACCCTTTGCCACACTTTGCTGGTGTACAAACAGAGACTGTTGATGCGTAGTTTGTTATCCGTCCTCTAGCCCTTTAATAATGCCCAGTTTTTGACCTCACAGCAGCCCTGGCTGGATTTTTTAGGGTGGTGGACCGCACTTTGAGTGCTGTGCTTTACAACCTGATTGATCTGTCTGAATCGATAGCAGTTTCTTTGCTCTACCATTGTGTACTCCCACTTTAATGGCATTTGGCCACCCAGTATTCTTCCACAAAAAAGAACAAGGACACTGACGCATGGCTCTGAGGACAGCAACTGCGACTGTCCTCCCTAACAAACCATGTCATGCTGAACATCTTGTCTTGTCCACACCTGTCCAATATGTACTTTAGTTTGCCCACCTGCACCCTGCTCAGATTACACTGAGAAACTGCTTTGTCACTGCTGTGCTACAATGCAAGCATTGGCACCGAATGAGCAACTAAAGGAAAGCAGTAAAAGATACTAACAAGGACTCAGCACTACACAGTGGCCACATTCTTAGCAACCCCTCTCTTTGTGCTTCCACCTTGTTGGTGTACAGTTAGAGGCTGTAGCACATTTCATACAATGCCTAGTTTGTATAGTCCTTCATCAATGGTCAGTTTCTAATCACAGCGCTGCTCTTGGCTGGATGTTTTCAGGTGGTAAAAACTTCACTCTTAACCTAGCAGTGACACTGATGCATGTAAAACCCCCAGCAACACTGCTGTGTCTGATCCACTCATACCAGCACCACACACACTACCCTGTCAGTGTACTGCTGTGCTGAGAATGATCCAGCACCCAAATAATATCTGGAAAACTGTGTGGTCAGCTGCACCAGCATGTAAGTGTTCATTATGCATTATTAATCAGAATGGGTTGCACCACACAAACTAGTTTTAACGTTGAGCTAAGTACCTACTAAATATTTACACCTCCTTCTAAGCAGGTGTAAGTCTTGGGGAAACCATCAGAAACCACACAGAAAGCACAAAAAAGACCAAAAACATGACTTTTTTGGTCAACTAAGCTAAAAATTCTAAACACTGTATGCTGTTATTTTACTCACAGCTCTAATCATCGCCCTGGTTCAAACTCCGACCATGAAGCTAAACACCCACAGCTCCAGCTCAGAGAGAAACAGCAGCCCAAACGGCTAAAGTGAGGCTGCTGTTGTGTCGGTCAGCCAGAAACCGGCATTTAAAAAGGTGCATGTTTGGTTTCTCAGTGAAATATTAAAGAATAAACAGAAACAGTGTCTGTAGATAATTAGCTTCATTCAGTTTAACTGGTGCATATCGTTCTTTTCTATGCTGGATATTTTTTTCCATTAAAAAAGTCAGCGCAAGCTGCTGTCTCGTTTCCATGGCAACGGGTTTACTGATTGGTCCTGAACATGTTATCGTCATGTTAAAGCGACATACATATTAGTTAGTTGTTACTAGTTAAGACATGACTTGTGGATTTGCGGTGCAACCAGATTTGGTAAAAGAAACCAACTAGTGTAACTAAGGACTTAGTAAAGACTTTTACGCCCAAACTTAAGTATAAACATACGCAAACCTGGTGGTCCTGTAGTCAGAAACTGACAAATGATGAATGGGGTAGCGGAGACCTAATAAACTGTGCAGCAACAGATGGGCTACAGTCTGTAACTGTATTGTATACAGTGGATCCATAAGCTAAGCAGAGCTATGAATAGATGGTATGAGTATAACCCTAACCACAACAGAACCACTAGAACTAGCGAATCGACATGATTCAGTATGTGTAGATGCAATAATCAACAACAAATGACCTGTAGACCCATGAAAGCTTTAGTTGCTATGGGTTCGCCATAGTTATGTGTGGAAAATGATGTAAAAGTATAATCTATAGAACTGGCCATTATGGACTACTATAGGAGAATTCCCAGTGGGCCACTCTATCTTGCAGTGAGAGAGAGAGAGAAAGAGGACGCTAGAGACAGATACGCTGTGAGCGGCTCACACATTATATCTTCAGTGTACTTGTGCAATCATACAATCTGACTACAACTTACTACCTCACTGCCAAAATCCAGTACAGAGTAATAAGACACCAGACAAGCGGCGGAGAAAAGTGCACCTTCAAAAACATAATAAGGCGAAGGCAAAGGGGAAGATATGCGCAGCAAAATTAAATCTTTTGAGCAAAATGCACTACTTTGACACTGCCAGAGTGAGAGACTGCTGCAGCAGAGTGTAGCAGTGGTGATCTACTGCAGCATCTGGACAAAGGCTAACAGGAAACCAAGACAGTTCTCTATCTAGGAGCCACAATTTTAACTCTAAAGGCTAAATTTACCAGGTAATCTGGTCATTTTTGTTTATTATATAGACAGCTAAGGAAATAAGTGTAACCACACTTAGCAGAGTGACTTTAGCTACTTAATATTGCTTGTTACACAAATAAACTACATTTTTCTGTAAAGCAGTCTGTTAACAAAATATATAAAATAAGTTTATTCCAGCCTAATAAAGGGAAGAGGGGTACAAGCACTGTAATGGGCTGGCCTTGGCCAATTTTGGATACTAAACACACTAAACCTCTCACTCTCAGTCATCATGATCCCACAATCTGGAGCTGAACTCTAACAACTTATGGTCAAACTCATCGGCTAACTGCTAAACCCTTTATAAGCTGATTCAGGTACATTATAGGTCCAAATGTTTATAGACACTTGCTAAATGGAGTTATGAAATATGAACCCCCCCCTCTACATTCTACGCCATATAAACTCTCCTCTCTCCCTCCAGTTTCCTGTGATGAAAACGTCCCACCACCACCTCCTACTCCTCCGTGACGGCTCTCTCTTCCTGAAGGACAGTGGGGGTCCAGCTTCCTTGATCACAGCAAGCCGCCCTAGAACTCCTGCCCAAGCTTCTCAGAGGTCCCTCCTCTGGCCCCAGCTCAGTTTCGAGTGTGGTTCAAACACACCAACCCAACATATGAGGGTATCAATGAGGAGGTCCACCCCCCCTGTGCTGCACTAACATCCTCTTCTCCTCTGGAAAGGCTTCACAAAAGCCTAGATCAAAAAAGCCATTCAAAACTCAAAGGCATGGGTATAATATTTCACTACTGCGCTAATCCTTTCTCTATTTCTCTTTCGCATATGCAGAACTGACCAGCCCCTGCATCCATCCTCCTTTGCGCAAGAATGCGGCGACTGACCTGCTGTGGCGCTGGGGGGTGTGTCTCCGGGTGTCGCCCTCCCCCAGCCGGCCCAGAGAGGGCGATCGGCTGCGCGGGGGGCGGCTCCCCCGGCCCATGGTCTTCACCGTGCCATTAGGGCTGTTCTGCATCTGCTGGGGCCTGCGGGGCGACAGGCTGCGCAGGGGCGAGGGCGAGCGCAAAGGCGAGCGGGCCGCAGGGAGCTTATTCACGTTCAGGTTGTTGTCACTGTTGGAGCGCAGGAGCACCCGCGGAGCAGCCAGAGTACTCCTGCCCGTCTGCGGCTGCTGTGGCCGGCCCCTGCCTGAACACGCCGCCGGAGCCTCCCGGAAAGGCACTGAGAGAAAGAGAGACAGAGAGGTTTTCAGTATCAAAGCGACATCAATTTTACACCATTTTCCCTTTACACCAGTCAGCCACTTCGTATCTGAAGTTAGCTTATTTAGTTTTATGAGGCTAATGAAGATAAAGAGTACTGGAAGCTTATAGCTCAGGAATTACCATGGTAGGCTCAAATCATCACAAACCACATGGAGTTGTTCAGTAATCGCAAACAGACTTAAGTGCTTATGTGGTTTCTGTGACTGCATGACACACTGTTATCTGTCACAATGCTAAAAACAGTAATTGGAGTCTTAAAGCCTTCATTTTGTCTGTACTTTTATATGAATAGGGAAAGAAAGGCAATGACAGACAGACAATAGTAAAGGAAGAAAACGAGATAGGCACGATCAGATTTGTGGCAAAGCTGTGTTATGAATTCCATCAACTATGTTTTACCCTTTTCAAGATTGGGTTGTATGTCTAACCCCCTGAGTATCTGGAGAAAAGTGGAGGGGTTTATGGGCGTTCCTCTCCAAATCTGTTTACAGAGTCCTTTATGGAATAATTTCAAGATTTTGACTGGGGGGTAAACCATTTTGTAATTCTTTTTGGTATAAATACAGTAGAGGACGTGTGGCGATAGTGGCTTGCTGTCATTTCAGGAGCTTCAGATGTGTTTTAATCTTCCAACTTCTTCATACTTTGTTTATTTACAACTTCGTTCTGCACTTTGAGCCTATGGAGTTCCCCGGGGCAGCACTCTCAACTCTCACTCCTTGCTAGACTGGATAAGACCTTTGGACAATCTACGGGGCAGAGTATCGTTTATTTACAGAACTTTGGTAGACCATCATATAAAGCAGTTGGCAGTCAAACAACTGTGGGAACAAAGCTTTCCTCTGCTGGTCCTTCCTTGGACTGGAACACTATATGGGCTAATTTAATTCACTCCTCTAAAAATTTGGCACATCAGTTTATCCATTACAAAATAATTCACACCTTACAGGAGACATCAAATAAAGCGTGTTTCTAGTTATACCTGTAATATTTGTAACTCTGCGCCTGGTTCATTTATGCGTATGTTCTGGGAATGTTCTAAAGTAGCAGATATATGGACCTTTACAATAGATATATTATCTAAAGTACTTGATCTCAGTGATCCACTGTCGCCACATTTATGTCTTTTAAATGATGACTCAGCTCTTCAGTTTTCTTCGTTTCAGCGAAGGATGCTGACGGCAGGTTTTACAGCCACCAAGAAAGCTGTCTAGCAACTTTGGATCGCCTCGCAGTTTTCAGCTATGAAATTCTGGATATCTAGTTTTCAAAATATAGTTGGGATGGAATCTTACAGCTAAGCTTAACAAGGCAAAACAGTCAACAATAAGAAACTGGGAGAATTTATATGACTCCATTCAAGAACTTTAGTTTCCAATTAAATTATGTGATGTTGTTCAGTTCTGTAGTTGTTTATGTATTTGCCTTATTTTTCGTTTGTGTGTATTCCTAAAACTGTATGTCGCTGTCCTGCCTTACCCTCCCCCTCACCTTTTCCCACCCTTGTTGTAAAACATAATGAAAAATGCAATAAAAAGTTGATCACAAAAAAAAATACTATGTTTTACCTTTGAAATGAACTGGGTTAAAAACGAACTTACTGCAAAAATGACATGTCTGCACATGAAAGCATCTCACATTTGGTCAATATATTTAATATTTCTCATTATAAGATTGTTGAAACAATATTAAAACATTATTAAATGAATATTCCTTACAGGCCAGATTTGAGATGATTTCACTTGTCAAGATATCATTTCCTGCAGTGTTGAAACCGGAGTTCGGTAAATGGGCTGTAATTGTGCATTTTCACTTGCTGTTGGTCAGTATTGCCCAGGACCAGACAGAGGCAGGTTCCTGTCAGCTTTCACAGCCAGGTGTCTGGCTGGTCAGAAGATCTGTCACTTAAATGTCTGTCTTTGTTGCAGATGCTGCAGGCTACATGAGGAAACCTGCGATCGGTTCACCAGGGTGTTCTATAATCCAGCTCTGTTTCTCTTCATTAGGTACGACTTGCAAACAGTTTGCAAAAAGTTTGAAATCTGCCTCAGTCTGGCTCCAGGCAAGTTCCCGGGCTATGTGCTTCATTCAACACCAGCGCAACAACAAAACCAACAAGTTATGCTGTAGCAACTTGGACAACTTACAAGAAAACGCAACTGCTGAGACAATGCATTCCCTAGATCTTTCAGAATTTGAACGATTCTAGGAGCCAGCTACAGTTACAGATGACAGTAGGCCAGTCTCCCTTCAATAACAATAAAAATAATGATAAAAATGGTGGCCTCTCTTTGTCCACTTTACTGCTTTAAGAGGTCCTGTAGGTCCACTATATAGGTGTACAATTAAAGATTGCAGCCCAACTGTTGCTACACGATTTATTCGCCCCACTCTACCTGATCCATCATTGGTCAGTTTCTGTAAAACAATATATTTTAATCACAGGTGTGCATGGCAATGGATGGCTACAGTCTCTAACTGTACACCAGCAAGAAGGACCTCCAGAGTAGGGGGTTCTTATAAAGTGGCTAGTGAATACAATAATAATAATAATAATAATGGTAACACTTTATTTGGAGTGATCCTTTGTAGATGATTAATAACCCTTAACAGATTATCAGTTACACATCAACAACATATCAGTGAAGTAGCAGTAGTGATGTATTTGAATACATTGAAGTAAATATCTTGTAGATGTTCTGTTGATACATTACTTACATTAAGTAGATGTGTTGTTAATATGTTACTCCCATTACACAAAACCTAACCTTACCCAACACCTAACCCTCACCCTGGCACTAATCCTAACCCTAACCTTAACCTCAACCCAAAACCTAATCGTACCCTCACCCTGGCCCTAATCCTAACCTTAACCTCAACTCACAACGTAATCCTAACCCTCACCCTGGCCCTAATCCTAACCCTAACCTTAACCCAAAACCTAATCCTAACCCTCACCCTGGCCCTAATCCTAACCTTAACCTCAACCCAAAACCTAATCCTAACCCTCACCATGGCCCTAATCCTAACCCTAAACTTAACCTCAACCCAAAACCTAATCCTAACCCCAACCATGGCCCTAATCCTAACCCTAAATTTAACCTTAACCCAAAACCTAATCCTAACCCTAAACTTAACCTCAACCCAAAACCTAATCCTAAACCCAACCATGGCCCTAATCCTAACCCTAAACTTAACCTTAACCCGAAACCTAATCCTAACCCTAAACTTAACCTCAACCCAAAACCTAATCCTAACCCCAACCATGGCCCTAATCCTAACCCTAAACTTAACCTCAACCCAAAACCTAATCCTAACCCCAACTATGGCCCTAATCCTAACCCTAAACTTAACCTTAACCCAACACCTAATCCTAACCCTCATATGTTTTTGACGTGTTGCTGAGAGTCTGTTGAGTGTTTGTTTAATATAAAAGGACCACTGAGGATAAACAGTCACCATAATAATAATCTGCTTTACATATACAGCACATTTCTTAAACCCAAGGCTTTACAACAACAGCAAAAAGCCTAAGAGGCTGAGTAAAGAATCTAGTGTTGAGTACAGAAAAAAGGGCATTAAGCGATTTTTAAAACGATAAAGCTGAATAATAGTCATAGAGATGTTGGGAATAGACAACCTGCCCCACCACTGAGGACAGTCTGGTGTACAGACCTGAAAGCCCACTGCCTGAGAAGCTGAGGGTACAAACAGACGTCTATATGAATGAATCTCAATAAGAAAAAACAAAGGTGACCCCATGAAGTGCTTTAAAGAAGAACTATATAATTTTATTTTTTTTAATTTCTGCATAATTCAGTGGTGGAGACATTAACAGACTTGTTCAGAGTGGTCTGATGTGAAATGGTTCATTGTAGAGAAACTTACTGACTAAGATTTCTTTACAGTGCTGGTGAAAGGAACCAGAGGTTGCAATGTCTATAATACAAATATAGCCATTTTATTTACTATCCAAAACCAGCCTGAACCTACACGTCTTCTGTGCTTTTATATATATAACGTTCAAAGGGTAAAACAATAATACATTAAAAAATATATATATATTTTTTTCATGCACTAATTTGCCTTACAGTAACCTGCATGTTCCCCTCGACCATGAATGGATTTAAAAAATACATTTAAGTCAAAAAGCTATCGGAAAACAATGTCTCAGATATCAGGCATTGTACTCATAACCATTTCATATAATAACTTGCTGTGAGGGACCTTTTAGAGGCATTAAATGCTTCAGACGTCTGATTCCTATCACCACCACTGTGAACAGTTCTGACACAACACGTTTCTCTAGAACGGACCATCTACAATCAAATCACTTTGAATGACAACCATTTAATTAATGCCAAAACTTTGACAAAACAGTGGAATTCCTCTTTACGAGTACAGTTTCATCACAATTTTCATACAAGCCAAGTCCACATAAACTCAAATATGACATTATGATCATCTTTTTTCTTGCTCTTCATTTTTCTTTAGACTCGTCTGGCACTTTTCAACTTGCAAAACTTGCCATAGGTGGTTACAAAGTCCACCAGCATGACCTCCTCCTCAGGTAAATCCAGCAAACTTCCGCAAAGCTTCACTTCATAAAATCCACCCAACTCTCGATCTCTGTAGCACTGTCTCATTTGAAGTCCAGCTGAGGTCTTCTCTCTGGCCTGGGTGAGAAATCCCTGGTGTTCAGCGCTCACTCTGGATGCATGATTAACAGCTATATTTATGTCTGCGCTGCCACGCTGAAGTGAAGGGTGGGGGGGGGTGGGGGGGTGCGGACGAAGTTCTCCAGAACATTAGGCCATGTGCACATCCTGCTCAGTTCCACAGCCACACTGAGGCAAGAGGCTATAAATACCACCGAAAGAAGAGCTGAAAGAAGGGCGGAGACGAAGAATGCCACCAAACGCGCTGAGATTAACATGCTGATGTAATAGCATCTCG